TCCGACGTCGCAGATCACCCTCACCTGTCCGACGTCGCAGATCACCCTCACCTGTGCGGCGTCGCAGGTCACCCTCTCCTTTGCGACGTCGCATGTCACCTTCTCCTGTAAGACGTCGCAGATCCCGCTCACCTGTGCATCGCAGATCTCCCTCACCTGCACGACGGTGGTATCGAAGATCTCCATTGACTTCACGCAACAGGTATGCATCTCCAGTGCAACGTAGGTCACCGGTTCGTGGTGGTAGGAGATCACCAACTCCTCGGAATAGGTCTCCTTCACCTTATGTCCGAAGTTCTGCATCTCCTATTCAGAATGGTTCCCCTTCACCAATCAGGGGAACAAAGTATCAGAGATCTCCGTCACAATCTCCTCAAGAAAGAACCAGGTTTATACCCCTTGATTTTGTTACAATTCTGTTTGTTTTTCTGTTGCATAGGCTTTAGTTTGTTGCATTGCATGCCAGGTTTTAGGACATTATGCAAGTGGTGTGTAGTTGTAGTTATTTTATGAAATTAATTTATGACAAGGTCTCCTCGTAGCGGCTTCTGTTGCATTTTCAATTAGTTCTTAGCAACCTATTTATATTATAAGTCATGTTAGGCAAATTTTGATCATTTTATAAATTACAAAATGTTACAGGTCCCAATTTTCTCCTGTGCCACGTCAGTCCTCTAGCTCTCCCGGATCACTGCAGAGGGAGTCAAAGAAAGAGAAAGATTCCCGTAAAAGAGCACCAGATTTGTCGCCATCACCAGAGAAGTCTCGCTTACTGTCAGAATCTCCACCAGGTGTAAGGAGTGCTAGTGAAGAAAGGAGGTATTCATCTTGGTTGCATAACTGATTCATATGATCTTATGATGTTAGTTTTGATTATCTGGTTATTTTTCGGTGCTTACTTTTTTTTTGCTGCCTTCAAAGATCCTCTAGTCCTTATGAGAGTCCGGTGCGACGACCAAGGGAGCAAATGACTCGTAATGTTAGCTCAAGTCCTCCAAGGAAACCAAGAGAACAAAAGCTTCGTCGTGGAAGTCCAGAAATAAGCGAAGAGTAAGAAATCAACTATACTAGGTCACATTAGAATTTGAAAGTTTATTGGAATATTCTGGATACTCTTTGTTATCAACTATCATCACAGCGTTAGAAATTCTCATTTTTTCCAATTCATCTGAGTGATTCTAGATTTTTGGTTGTAGGGAGGATGGCGATTATAGACCTAAGTCCACAGAGAGAAGATCAAAAAATACATCAGTGATCGGTAAGCCGATAGTTTCTCCTGCTAAGGTTCATAACAAGGAAGACTACTCTCCTGAAAGAGTAGCATCTGGTCATAGATCTACTGAATCTCGGAGTCGTCTGGATAATATGGAATTCAGAAACAAAGAGCAGGAGATGAGGAGGTAAATATGGCCTCTGACACATCTTATAATGCATATATGATTACTTGGAAGTACTTAGTTTTCAGGCCTGATATTATTACATTCCTGACAGTGGGAAATCCTCTGGGAGGGGGGCTCCTGGAACTCCTGAGCAACAAAAAGCAGCAACCATGTCAAAGGACTCTCTACCTGGTGAGACTCAACAAGCATCATATCCTAATGAAGGTAGAAAGACTGATGATAAGAAACGCTCTCATTCGAAGAATTCCAAGGACAGTGACCGGCATCACAAACCTGGATCTGTACACTCTTCAGTTGAAAAGGTTGATCATATTAATCAAAGTGGCACTTTTGATTCTGGTTCTGAGGAAAGTGACAAATGCAGAGGTGGGGATAAGGAAAAAAGAAAGAATAAGAGATCAGAGAGGCAAGCAGTGACTTCAGATGATGATTACAGTAATGATTCTGAAATAGAAGACAGGAAGGGCTCTAAAAGGAGGAGGAAAGAGGAAAAGAGATTGCGGAAGGAGAAGAAGCGCCGAAGACGTGAGGAGCGACGCCGCAGAAAAGAAGAACGTCGTGCAGAGAAGCTGAAAGGAAAGAATTACAGTGATGCTTCTGCTTCAGGTGGTGAACATGTAGGCAGGAGGGAGCTTCATTCAAGTGACCATGAAGAGGCAGAGGCTATTCAGAAGAAACTTGAGATTGAGTTACGCAAGAAGGCTCTCGAATCACTTAAAGCAAAGAAGGGCATCAATCACTAAATTTGTTACTATGTTCAGACATTGTGATGTTATTTAATCTTTTCAATCCTTTTAAGCAGTAACATTTCAGATTTGCTAGGAATTTGAATGAGAGTATTTCTATGTTTTGTTTACTGTTTAATGTAGTCTGTGTTTACTGCTGGCAGCTTAAGTGGATAAATGAGGATTTCCTGAGCTATTCTCTTGAGTTCAACTTTATGCAGACCTTGCTGCTAGATTTTCTGGTAATAATTGTCTTTGTGAATATGATTTCTTGTTTTATGGGATATCATCATCACATGGATGTGAAGCTCTGAGATTGCCCTTATATCTGTTGTCTGATTTTCTGATTCTTGAATTGGGTGTTAGTTTTTTTTTTTTTCAACTTTTAATTTAATTTTTGTTTTTATTTGACATTGCTAGCTTGTTTGATGTGCAAAGTTGGTTACAATTTCAGGTAGTATTTGTTCTGGTCTGTATGATTGGCTGATCTTATTTCTTTCTTACGACAAAAAGAACCTGAAGGTCTTATCTGTTTCATTCATGAGGATTTACTAAAATTAGCTTTCTGGTTAATTGGTAGATGAAATTTATGTCAACTAGGTGTCACCTACTTGAGCAGATCATGCGCAGATCCACATTTTGACCATTGGTTCAGGTAAAGTTTTCTATTCCTTTACGGGCTCTTTTAGAGGAACAACTCAGTGTCTTTTGGTGAATTCTCTCTCTCTCTCTCTCTCTCTCTCTCTATCTCTCTTTCCCCTCTCTTAGCATATATATCGTTGCTGCTTTCTTACTTTGATTTTGTTTAAATTTTAAGGATGGAAGCGTGAGAGTTGTTCCTGGGACTTAATTTTTGTAAAATTCTCCATGGTGCTGTGGTCTTGGATTTGTCTGGTCCTCATGTTGATACCGACTGTAAGGTTGATATAGATGGTATACCATTTATGTATATGAAATGATTAATATTATATGAGAACGGAGGTGTTAATCTTCACCTTAATGTTCTTTTCTAACTGTGTTTCGCATCTGGGGTGAAGCATTTAATTTTGATAGGAAAAGTTTGTTGATTGGATAATTTATGACCATAATATACGTTTCCGTCCTCTGGCAGTACTGATGAATGTTGCAATTTCAATATGAATCTTTGGATGCAGTTTTTACTTTCTGTTTTTTTTTAAAATACCTTTTAATGGTTGGTTATGAAGTATTTGCTGCAACTAGCTTGGCATGGATTTCTGTTAATTTTCGAACTAAATTTCACATCTTGAGGTACCGCCATTTGTAGAAGGATCTTTTAGGCTATATCATTAGCTCTTTAAGGTTAGTAGATGGTGTTTTGTGTTACTGTTCTTGATAATTTGTTACTCTAAATGGTAGTAGCGTATGCTTAAAGCATTTACATGTTGGAAATGCGAAGCATGGATGAGTATGCTTAATATGCTGTCTGACTTAAGCACAAGTATGAAATGAGGCTTACCGACATTGGTGCTGGTACCTTGGTTGGCTCAACGAAGGAGAAAAGTGGGGTTAGAAATAGGAGTACAATAAGCATCAGCTTCATATTTTGGTTTGTATGAGAACTGATCTATTTCGTAGTTAAGATCTCGGTGAGCATTGAGAAATCAACACTGATGTTAATTCTTGATATTATACTAGTATTATTTTGCTTGCCATATTTGTGGGGCTTAGATTGGTGTCCTTTTAGTTTTCCCACCCCCGCCTTCCCTGCCTTCGTCTTCCTTGGATGTTTCCTAGCAAACTTCCATTCAATGGGTTGTAATATTGTGGCATTTCAGGTCATTCCATGTTCCCCATCTGATTTAGTTAATAGTTATCTGTTTGAACGCTAATGTTGCCAATTTGAATCTGGGTGTTGTTAATAGTTATTACCAATATGGTAATGGTAATAGCCTGGTTATTCTTGTTAGCTTGGAATGTTTGTTTAACTTTCTTGATTTTACCATAGTTGTGCCCCTTGGGGCTTGCCGGTGAATATTGAGTTCACTATTTACTTTCAAGTTTGAGGTTGTCTTAACGTTTACCATTACACATCAACGTACTTCCCGTGGTGCTTCAATGAAAATGACAAAATTATTGACATGGACGTTAGATCATTTAGACGATATTATATGTCGGTGGGCCCATGCCTATCGCATTATTTCTGTGGTGGCATCAAGCATTGAGTGGATAAAATCCTTTCCTGGTGTCCAATTTTCCTCCAGTAGATAGAGCATGCCACGTGGCATCATTTTATTTGCCTGCTCCCATACACTTCCCATCCAGATAATATTTCGGACCAAATGCAATTCAGCTGCCACAGGCTTGTGGTGTGTTGGGTCCAGTCAAGACAAGGAATTAGCCATGGGTGTGCAAAAAAACTGAATTGTGAGGGAAGAGGAGCCACTCTTTGCATCAATGGCTGCGACTCTCAGTTCCAATTCATTTCTTCTAACCTCCACATTCAATTCAAGAGCAACCACCACCCTAAAGAACCCAAGGCTCTCTGTCTTGGCCAAGAGGACTGGCCCCTTATCCGCATTTCGGTTTGGCAAGTCCGGGGGCGATGGTTCGTCGTCGGACGAAGGCCAAGCTGATGATTCCACCAATTCCAGCTCTTTCCGGTTTGATTTCGGCAAAATTCCGGATGTGAAATCTTTGATCCCTGTTGTGAGTCAGCCTTCTTTAGGCCTGTCATTTGGGAACCCCAGAACCAAGGACCCTAGAACTGTGTTTGTGGCTGGCGCAACGGGTCAGGCTGGGGTTCGCATTGCTCAGACTCTTTTGCGTGAAGGTTTCAGTGTGAGGGCTGGCGTGCCTGAACTTGGTGCTGCCCAAGAATTGGCTCGTGTTGCTTCTAAATACAAGGTTAGCTTTCTCGAACCAATCGAATGAACAACGTGAATTACACAATTTCGTACCAAACTTTAGAATGGCCCCTTTGGCTATGGAACTAATAGACAAGCAAAAGAGATGCTACCTTTTGTTTATAACTTTAGTGGTAAAGTACTAATTATTGAAGAAGTTAAAAAGAAACTTAAATGAAAGTACAGAGTTGCGGTTTGATCAATTTTTATTTCGTTGTCAATATTTTGTCAATAGCAAAACGTATCGACATGTTATCGATACATCATTATTCACACATTATCAACATTATTGATGCAAAAATCTGTCATTTAACAAAGGACGGACACCTTGTTGAATTTCTGTTGCAAAAAATTGTTATGTAAAATGGATAAACTATGCCCTGAGCATTTAATAGCATTGGTCCTAACATTTTTGCTCCAACTTTCATCAACACCGTAGATCATATCAAACGAAGAATCAAAACGCATCAACGCGGTTGAATCCGTCTTCCAAGATGCCGAGGCCATTGCCAAAGCCATCGGAAATGCCAGCAAAGTTGTCGTCACAATCGGCCCCAACGAGAACGGTCCAACGACCGAAGTCACCCCATTAGACGCTTTACAAGTAATACAAGCTGCCCAGCTGGCCGGCGTTGGGCACGTGGCAATAATCTACGACAGGAACACATCGGGTGTATCAACTTACAATGTACTAGATGGCCTCTCTTCATTCTTTAACAACCTCTTCTCGGGATCTCAGCCGTTGACTGTAGCTGAATTTTTGCAAAAAGTCATCGAAACGGGTGTCAGCTACACGTTTATAAAAACAAGTTTGACTGAAGATTTTTCGCCTGAGAGCTCATACAACGTTGTCGTTTCAGCTGAAGGAAGCGGAGGTGCAAACGACTACAAAGTAATGTAATGTATGCAATAATAGTGAAATGGTTTCATTTGATTTTTTTATTTTCTTTTGTGTTGACATTACCTTTCCTGATAATATTGAACATTGCACACACTAGGTAGCCAAGGCTCAGATTGCAAACCTGGTGGCCGATGTTTTCTTAAACACTTCTGTGGCGGAAAATAAGGTACCTCGTCTACTTGAAAGTAAATTTGGTTCGGTACTTTTGTACCACATTTTCGAATCACATTGTTGACTACATCTCTCGCAGAGACGAAATTCATTTGAAATCAATCTATTTCAGCTGGTTTCAGCCTTACGAGAGATGTGATCAAAGAACATTACTATTTGTGGTTTTCTATATTTTATTTTATGGGTATGTACAAAGTCATATATATACATTAATTGGTTACTTATCTAATTGATTAAATATTTCTGGGAAAGGTTGTGGAAGTGTATACTGATCCATCAGCACCCTCCAAGCCTGTGGATCAGCTTTTCAGGTACCTTAGAGCACAAGTTTTTGCCGTTATCGAATTGAAAGAGAAATATCCAAGTCTTTATTGTACAATGAAATTTGATTTACACAAATCTTCTGTTTTCATTAACTTTGAATCTGGTTAATTTGCTATTTTCTCCATTAGTCTCTATATATTTCTCATGTTTATTGAAGACTAGTGGTGAATTTCATCAAGTTGTGATGGTAACTAAATCAAATTCATAAATTGCGCAAGAATGATCTGCTTTTGATGGAAAATTGTCTGACTTTGTGTGTGTTTTAATTGCCTCTAGTACCATCCCTGAGGATGGAAGAAGGAAAGCTTACGCAGAATCAATTGAAAAGGCAAAAGCAGAGGAAGAGGCAATAATAGCTGCTGAGAGAGCTCGCAAAGCAGCTGAAGCGACGAAGAAACTTGAAGAAGAGGTAAAAAAGCTGACTGAGCAAGAAGCTCGAGCAACTACTTTAGCTGAAGATGCTCAAGTGAAGGCTGAGGCTGCAGGGGGCACAATAGACAGCCTCTTCAACAAGGCAAAAGATATTGGCTCAGGGCTGTCCTGGGACAAGTTTAGCTCACAACTTGCAGACACAGTTCAAAAGTCTACAGAGATACCAAAAGTGCAGATTGCCACTGTCCGAGGACAGGCAAAGGCTCGGACTTTACCTCGGCAGAAAGCGGTTGCCAAGCAAGTTACAACTCCAAAACTGGCTTCTTTGAAACCGAAAGAACAGCCAAAGCCTAAGGCCAAGCAAACGGATGAGAACAAGGAAGTGAGGAAGGTGTTTGGTGGCTTGTTTACGCAAGAAACTGTGTATGTCGACGATGACTGAGGCGAAAACTGGCCAAGTACCAGGGTTTAGTAGTATTTATGTCTTTGTTGTTATTGAAATTTGAAAGATGGTTTTATATATGAGTTCCAGCAAGTAATATCTGTACTGGTTGTCCTTTCTCAACGAATAAGGAAATAATCTCCTTCATGTTCTTGTTAATACTCAAATCAACCCCTGCTTAATGCATGCAAAAACACGGTATGAATACACTAAATTTACGTCACGGTGACGTATATTATGATCACAGTTTCCGGTCTTCTGTTGCTGGGTGCCAAATGAACTCGATAAAAAGGTTTTATTAGTCAAGATTTGCAAAAATATTATGTCACGATCGAAATGGTGCTTGTTTTATATGTTGTCTTCATCACCACATGTAGGTAACTTCCAATGAATCTTGTACTTGCCTAGCACTGTCTTCAAAAGAGAGTGATTTGAGTATTCAATTGTCCCTTCCTTATGCGAACAAGAAAGTGTAGCTTGCTAACAAAGCTTTTAATTTGTATTATTTAATTCGACACTTAAACAAGTATTTTTAAGCTTTTCCTGGGTCAACTTGAAAGAGAAAGATAGCAACAGCAACGATGAGGACAACCATGAGAGACAATTAGCAAATGACAAATTGCCCTGGTTGTGAAAATTTAGCAAATTAATCATTGATTTGCTAAATTTTGTGTCTTAGGTTGGTTGACACACACACACACACCAACGTACGTAGTCTTTGGCAATATTTCTTGTGTACACATTGATCAACGCGGCAATGTCGACATATATAGAGAGGTTCTATTGGCTCAAGCACACCCAATTATTAATCCTTAATTATCTTTGATCGATACATCAATCGAGAAATAATAATACTAGAGTCACCAAATAAGGTTTTAAAGTGAGCCAAAAAGAAACAAATAAAACACGACCGCATCAATTGGAATATTATGTTAGTGCCTCTAGTATCACACATCTCTAATAAAACTTCAAAAGATAAGTCATGACATTGAAGCTTAGGTTCCAAGGGATTTTTGGTTTTTACTATGAATTCGTAGAGATATTACCAAAAAAAAGTGACCTCATTGGTTAATTTGATTGTCAAGTGGGTTATCGCATTCAGCTGACTTCATCTCTCCAAAATTTGGATCCTTACCAAGTTACCATTCAAATGATTCGTTTTTACTTCTTCTTACTCTTCGAACTCTTCTAAAGACTGAACTGAACATTTTTAAAACTAATTATTTAGTTATAATTAATTAATTATCTTGAGCATTTGTCTATTTCTCAACCATTACCTCATCATGTTTTAACTCTAGAATATATAATAGGATGCCCCTTGCCTTGGATTGAAATTTTTTCTTTCTTAGTCTCGATAACCGTGCACTTTTTCTCTCTCAGGCTCACGGAGGTGAAGTTTAGGGCTTGCATGAAATTTGAAAACAGTGCATGGTGTAATCATAATGAAGATAAGTATTTTTGTTTTTGTTCAAATGAGGGCCAAGATCTGGCAAGTGCTCTGCTAGCTAGTATGAGATACATAGAAGATTCTCTAATAAGTATTTTATTTTAAGAATCGGTTACATATTTCTAATTTCGACCGTTGAATTGCATGTTTGTTACATATTAAATCTACCAACACATCTAATGAATGCAATCTAATCGTCGAGATTAGAAATACGTAGCCAATCCTTAACTTATTTGAGAATTCTCCCATGTTTGAATATTCATTTTTGATAGATTTTCCTAAATATTACCTCTCCGTGTGTCAATATGTCTAATTTGTCACTTGTAGACAAAATCAAAATTTTTTGTTGATATTATCTCTAAGTTAGATTACTTTTGCAGTTTTGCTATATGCTGCACAGTTTTTGACTCTTGCCTTTTATTGTAAGCTCATAACCTTAGACATTAATGGAATTATTAGTTGAGGTGACACACCAAGCTGTCACACACACATAATACTAAGGGGGTTTCAAAAATCGCAAAGATTTTTCTTCCTTAAGTTGTTTGGGGAAAGAGCAAAGAAATATAAAAACCTTGTGGTTCATGTTAAAATATATAAAATAATTAAGGAAGTAAATCATCTAATTAATCAAGGAAATAAATCTCCTTGATTAATTAGGATAGCTCACGTCAACAGTGCATGCATCACAGAGAACCATCTCCTTGATTTCACTTTTTTTTTAATAAAAATAAATAATTTTTTAAAGATATATATGAACCATGTACATGTACATTTTTGGGAATAAATGTTATCATATATACATTTAAATCCTATTAAAATAATAGCTAAGACCAGGAATGATAGCTGTTTTTTTCCTTCTTCTTTTAGGATCTTTTCTATTGAGAGGGGCGATAACATATTAAATTCACACACACTACATGGATATTAGAACTCGGACCCAGGACCTTTCCTAAGGGGAGCATTTGCTCCAAACCACTATATACTATGGGGTCCTTTTGTAGAAGAGTTGAGCAAGAAAAGAGAAATTGAATAAGAATATAAAATAGGATTTATTGACATCTTTCTTTCAAGTGATATATAACTGAATTACATGAACTCATCAAATCAATTTATAACACTAAATAAATAGAACATGAATGCTCGCCACAATCGCCTAACATGCATGGAAGAAGCAACTGATTATGTATAGTATTGATCTTTTCAGGTGTTTGAGAAAAACAAAAAATAAACCCCCTTTCAGGTTCAATGCAACATTGTAGCTAATGAAATAATGCTTGTGCCTTTGCTTCTATAAAGACATAAAAAGAAAAAAAAAGAAAAAAAAGGAGAAAACAGAGTCGCAGTCCCTTGTAAAAGTTAAATAAAATACCAAACGAATTCAAAAGATCTTTACTTGTAGTAATATTCCTATTCTACTGGACAATTCATCCACTGCATATAAATCATGCAACTAATCGCTAATTAGCTTCCCAATTCAAATAATTAATCGTCAAGAATTAACATCGATAAGTAATTAGGAAAGAGAGAAAAAAGGGTTTGCAGAAATATGATGTTAAGTATTTTAATTAGACACACATATTCACTATCAACACTTATTTGCAAAATGCATGCAGTACTGATAAAAGCAGTGCAATAAGAAAGCAAACTTGAAAAACTTATATATAATAATTGACTACGTTAAGCATCTGGCTGCAATTTTTTTTAACACCTAAAAGCACCAACTCAATCTTTCTGTAAAATCGGCATCCTTTTTGCTTAATTATATATTTGTGAGGCAGAGACTAGACTTCTGCAGAAAGAAGGTAGAATATATTTGTGAGGTAATCATTAAGTTTATAAGCCATGGCTTCACGTGCATCTAGGGTTTATGTCAAACGTCTTCAGCAACTAAACCCTAATTCCATCGACACAGCAAAGCCACAGTGTTTCAATTTCTCATATATCCTCATTTCCGTGCATACTGATTCAATGTATTTATAATTGAAATCAATCACTGAAACGGATCGAGTTTCCCTTTACTTATCACTAGTTTCAGTTTCCTGGATGGATTGTTAAGGCCAAATTTGTAATAAATCAGTGAAGGTACGACATGTGGTTCAACTTAAAACAAGATATAAAATCTGCCAAAAGAATCAGATTTCTTTTATTTGAAGATATGAACAACTAATAACTGGACCTTTCCCAACACCAAAAGGTTAATTATATGATTTCACAAGTAAAATTCTATGCACAATACCGATAAATCAATTAAGAATCTGCAACATAAATAATAAATATAATTAATATATATAAATGAGAGAAATTAGCGATACCGGGATTGAAATAGAGTAAATTAAATTCAAAAGAACTTTCTTGTAGTGTTTGCCTTTGATGATGAATCTTGACGCTCAGGCCCTAGCCTAAGCTCAAGGTCTAACTCTGAACCCGATGGCTGCAAACCCTGATCCCCATGAGCTTGTTGTAAACCCGGATTTTCGTGAACTCTGGCCTGTGATGGTGCTTGAGAAAATAGTGGGAGTTGTTGTTGGACTTGGTGGGAAAGATGGTTTGGATCAATATTATGCCTCATGGTGGCATCACCTTCTTTGTTGAGAAACCAAGGCCATGTCGATGTGTTTCTTTCAGCATCATGACTAGGCTTAAGCTTATTGTGTTCTGAAGAATTGATGGTAGGAAGTATTGGAGAAGAATACGAGGAGGGCATCTTTGGGATGTCCAAAAGTCTTTGCTGTTGTTGGTGTTGTTTAGTTTCAATAGTATTTGATGAGGAGACTTGCTTGAGCTTGGCTTTGTCTTTTCGGTGAATGTTCATGTGCCCTCCTAAAGCTTGCGCATTAGAAAACCCTCTTTTACAAAAAGTGCACTCATATGACTTTGCTGCTTGGCTTGCACCTTGCTTATCATCCGAGACCTGCTCTGAGTTTTCTTGAATTGCCTGATCAGACTCCATTTGTGAGAGAGAGAGAGAGAGAGAGAGAGAGAGGGAGAGAGAGGGAGAGGGAGAGGGAGAGAGAGAAGGAGAGAGAGAGGGAGGGATGGGTCAACTGGCTGGTAGTGAAGAATTATATTTATTTAGGGAGAGAAGGAAGGCCTGCATTCTAGATATTAGTGACCTGTTAATTACCCAGCATGCTCTCTAAATAATTTAATTATGTTTTGATCGCTAGCATGCTATATATGCAATTGAAATTGTACCAAAGGACAAAATAATTACAAAACTTAGTCATGTTAAACTAGACTGGTCACTCTCTAATTATATATTAATTATATATATATTTGTCTTAATATTTTATATTTATTACTAAAGAACAAAATTATTTTGTATCTTTTCTTTTATATTTATTTCCAACTTGTTTTTCTTTTTGGTGTTTCATGGTGGAATTAATCACATATGTACACTATATATACAAAATCTAAATCACATATTTAAAAAAAAGAAAAAAAGAAGAAGCATTGGTACTACTAATATCAATAATATCAACGAAATATCGAGGATATTATCGTTTTTTCAGGTCACGGATATTTCGAAACGTACACATATTGTATAAATATCGATAATATTAACGATAATATCGGAAAATATCGATGTCGATAATTTCGCTCACACTTCAGCAATATTTTGTCAAAATATCGGTATAATATCGCTATAATATCGAAAATATCGAAAATATCGATGTAATGGAAAAAATGAAGAAAAAAAAAAC